GTATTAAAACATCTACATGCAGGCGCAGGAGCCAGGGATTCGATCCCCAGGCCTGACATGTCGGTCCCACTCCTGGGGCGCGCTGAGATAGCAGTTGATACTGGACGTCGAGGTGCGCACCTGTAATCCCAGCTCTTGGGAGGCTGTAAACAGGCGGATCACTATGAGTCCAATCTAGTAGTGAGACCCTGAACACCCTGTAGACCCTTCCATAAAATAAAAAAAAAGAAAGAAAAGGAAGAAAGAATAAAAGAAATCCATCTTATTAGGTGCCAGTGCAGGTTGTGACTATGAAACCCCTAGCAAGTAGGTGCTTAACTGCTAAAGACACAGGACTCAGAATGCTGGGAGTGGATTCAGTCTCGATCAGAGAGGGACCACAGGACACTGGACTGTCCAGAGACATTTGTGTAATACAATGACAATCATATTTTTGCTTTTTCTTTAAGATGTCTGTGAAGTAGTTGCAATACGGCAAAAGGTTAAGGATAATAGCAATAATTGCATATTTTTGTTATTCTAGCGGATTTAATTCTGTCTCTCAGAAGTGAAAATTATCATGGGTGCTTTGTCAACTTTACTCCCTGTCATGGGTGGAACTGCTGTAAGGGAGAAAGAATATTTCAGGTTTACAGTTGTGGAGCATCACTTCTTTTTCAACAGGATGGTACCAGTTGCCAAGAATATAGCCATGGCAACTTAACTGAAAACACATGTGGGCTGTAGGCAACTATTGGAAAGTGACTAAGCATGTAGCATCTGAATGACAGTAACAGGAGTTATCAAGTGTGTGCCAAGTGCTGTAATTATTACAACCTCCCTGTGAACTATGAATTAATATTTTCTTCTTTTTAAGGATGTGTAACCTGGAACAGGGAAACTTGCTCTTGCTTCAATAAGAAGCCATCAAGCCAGGGTTTCAACTCAGGGAGCTGTGTTCACCCTCACTGTGCCATGTTGCCTCTTGGCTGGGGAGTGAGGAGCCTTGGAGGTCCTGACCCCATCGGCTCCCCGCCCATGCCCTCATGCTACGGCAGAGGCTGGCATAAAGCTTAGCTCCCTAGGTGCATTTGTGCCAGGAGGGTAACGAGGTAGTCTACATCAATATTTTTATGGCAGTTAGTTAATGAGATTAACTAGTTAAACATTCAGTAGACTGTGGAGAGTAATGGAGTGAGACAAAGTGGCAGCAGGTTGGAAGAGAGCTTGCTAAGGATGGGCCTTTGACGAGCATCCCTGAGGAACTAAAGGGCGTCGTGGCCAGAGCAGGATCAGGTGGCCGAGTGCATCGAGTCTGCTGTCTGTTGTGCCTGTGACCAGCTCCATTGTCACTCCTGTGCTCTGTCACCTTCCAAACCACATTCTTTCATTGCTGTCATTTAGAATCCTTGAATGTGGACTTCAAGAGCTTTACCAGTCTGTCCTCCTTCACAGTGAGGGACGTAAAGGATCGTTGGCTAAGTTTTGTCTCCAGTTACCTTACACTGGGAATAGGGCCCTGTTCATTTGGTTATTCCGCATTATTTTTATGCCTTTTTTGCTAGCTCACTTTTAATAGCATCACTTTAGGTACTTACTGAAATTTTCCTGCTTATACCAATAACATTTATTTCTTTTGGTGAGAACCCAAATTGAACACATAGCATCTGTTCTTTCTTTACAGATAGCATCTTTCTATTTATAATTTCTTCTCTCTCTCTTTTTTTTTTTTTTACTTGAAATAAGCTTTTATGGGGCAAGGGAGCAATGATTTTTATTAGGTCATATTTTAAAATCATTTTATTTTCTCAGTAGAAGCCACAAATGCAAGTAATTCCACTTAGATCTAAGAAAATGGCCCGCCTCATTAGGGTAATGCACCTTCAAAGCAGCATTTCTGAAAAGCAAAACTTGGAGGATGTTTCCACTTACCAATTTCACTCATGGTTATGCCTGGTGCTAACTGCCCATTGTTGAAAGAGCTATAGGTAAACAAGTTGGGTACCGAGGTGAGGTCATAGATGGGTTCTTGCTTTATCTGTTTAATCCCAGTCATGTCAAGTCCTGACTGATCAGGGGACGGCTGGCCCGAATCCACGCTGTAGTACCCCTCGGACTTGGGCAGATCGATGACGTGCCCGTTGGTGTAAGCGCCGCTGGTCTCACTGCTCAGGTTGCTCAGACCATTGCTGATGCTGCTGCTGTAGACCCTGGCAAGGGCCTCTGCCTCCCCGCTCTGCTGCTGCCGCTGCTCCTGCAGCCGCTGCTGGTGCTTCTGCACCTCCGCATACAGGCTGTCCCTTTGTTTCTTGGACATCCTTCCAAACTTCACAGCTGTGTAGGAGAGAAAAACAGAACATGGGATTTGTGGTTGTGCTTCTGCTTCAGCACACATGGCCATGGGTGTTTGTTCCTTCAATATCAGGTAATCAAACCTGTAAACACCACAACCTTCATTTGCACTGTACAGTTAGTAAAATGATATATTTGGGGGGCATTTGTACTGGATTTGTCAATGAAGAATTAAACGCAAGCATGCTAACTAGCTTTCCATTACTGTAACAAGTACCCGCTGTAGTCAACTTATGAAGAGAAAGGTTTGTACCGGCTCTTGGTTTTGGAAGGTCTAGTCCTTGGCTTGCAGACCCATTGTTCTTGGTCCTGTGATGGGACCGTGAGTTATAGAAGGAGCATGCGGTGCAGCAGGCTGCTCATCTCATGGTGGAGGAGCAGAAAGGA